GCAACGCTTGCGATTCGCTGAGTCTCGGGTGGGGCCGGAGCAAGTATGCCCGGGACGCAGGGGCTGCCCGTCGGGCAATGCACTCGGGCCGCGCGCGCCAGCTCCTCCCTCCAGGGCCGGCGCTGGCGAGGCTCGCGCGGCCGGCGGGGAAGCGGCGCGTTCCGGGGGGCGTCAGGCGGCCGCGCGGCACGCGATCAGCTGGCGGAGGCTCCTGCGAAAGCTGTCGTCCAGGAAGGCGTAGAGGAAGGGGTTGAAGCAGCTGTTGGCGTAGCTCAGGCTGGTGATGACGTAGGAGATGGCGATGACCAGCGGCGTCTGCGGGAGGTCGGTGGTGAGCGCCACCACGGTGCCCAGGTGGTAGGGCGTCCAGCAGAGGAGGCACACGGCCAGGATGGCCACCACCAGGAGGGTCACCCGCTTCTTGGCGCGCTCCAGGGCCTTGGCGTGGCTGTCCAGCCGCATGGCGCGCAGCCGGCACAGCAGACGGGTGTAGAGGGCGCAGATGGCGGACACCGGGACGGCGAAGCCCAGCACCAGCGTGTAGAGGCGGCTCGCCCGCCACCAGAAGGCCTCGGGCTGCGGGAAGACCAGCACGCACTGGCGCCGGCCCTGCTCGTCGTCGAGCCGGGCGAAGACGGCGAAGGGCAGCACCACCAGCGTGACCAGCGCCCACACCGCCAGGCTCACCGCGCGCGCGGCGCCGTAGGTGCGGCCGGCCACGCGGCGCGACTCGGCGGTGGCCAGCACCACCAGGTAGCGGTCGGCGCTCATGACCGTGAGGAAGTAGAGGCTGGAGAAGGTGTTGTACTGGTCGATGGCCACGATGAGTTTGCACATGAGCTCCCCGAAGGGCCACCGCCGCAGCAGGAAGTCGGCGATGTTGACCGGCAGCACCAGCGTGAAGAGCTCGTCCGCGATGGCCAGGTTGAGGATGAACAGGTTGGTGACCGTCTTCATGCGAGGCGCCCGCAGCAGCACGTACAGCACTGCCGAGTTGCCCGCCAGCCCCACGACGCAGATCACCGCGTAGACGACCGGCACGGCCACGGCCAGCGTCGCGGGCAGCGGCACCGGACTCGACGCGTTGGCGCAGCCCGGCGCGGGGTCGGGGCAGGACGCGCGGGCGGGCCGGGGCTCCGAGGACGAGGTGTTGGGCATCTCGGCGAGCGCAGGCGAGCGGGCGACCCGCGTCCTCCACGGCCCCGCGGGGCTCAACGGTCCTCAAGCCCCGGTCCTCCTCGGGGCCGGCGCCAGGACGCTCGCTTCCGCGCGCCCAGCCCCTCTCGGGTGTTTCTGGGGGAGGGACGTCCCCGGCCACCCTGCAGCCCGCTGTCGCCGCGGACTCCCGGGGCTGGAAAGCAGAATTGAAAGCGCAGGTTAGGCTGGTCGACGAGTAGCTTCAGGCAGCGGAGGGGTCCCGGGGAAGGGGGGCGAGCGGCGCCCCAAGCCTCCAGCACGCGAGCGCTCTCCGCTACCTGTTGGAATTTCATTTCAACCAGTTGAAGACACCAAGAGAAGTGCCAGAGAGAGGAGTCCTTCTCCTTACAGGGAGAATGCAGACCCTGCTCCTCACTCTTAGGACATCCCTGGCCGACCCGAGTCCCCACCGAATTCCACCGTGGCAAGCTTCGGTCCCCCTACGTTCCGCGCGCCCTCGGTATCAGCTAGCTCAACAGCGATCTTGACCTTACCTGGCGGCCCCCGGTAAAGGGTCTGCCTTTCCTGGAACTGGCAGGAGAGGAGCCCGCCGGCTGTGGGGGCAGCCGGGGCGCCCGCCGGCTGGGCGTCCGTCTCCCCGCGTCTGCCCGGAGTCTTCGGCCCGCGCCCCCGCGGGTCCCTCCCGCGCGCGTGAAAGCGCAGGGATGGCGCAGCCGCAACTGCGCTCCACTGGCCCGACCGCCGCGCCCAACCCCCACTCCAAGGGAAATGGCCTTGGAACTCACGGAAAGCCGCATTCCTCAAAAAGGATGAGATGCTGTTCCTTTCCAGTAGTGTCACCTCCCTCCAGCAAATAAAGGGCTCTCCTATTCAGGAGAAATTTTTAAAAAGAAGAAGAAGTTAGGGTGTTATTGATCTATTTTAAAAACGCAAATAATACAGTTGGGGCTCCCATTCCATGTTTTAAACACCATGCCACAAATGGGCTAATATAATTTGATACTTGAAAAGTACATGCATACTATGTTGCCTTACAGAAGGAAAAAGTGAACGCGATTTTATTTTATTTTTGTTTTCTGACTTTTTTTGTTTTTTTGTTTTTATTTTTGGGGGGGGCGGTTGTTTGGGGTTTTTTGTTTTGTTTTGATTTATTTTGCTTTTAGTTTTGGGGGGGGTTGTACCGGGGTCTCACTCTGTTACCCAGGCAGGAGTGCAGTGGCACGATCACAGTTCACTGCAGCCTCAACCTCCTAGGCTCAGGCAATCCCTCCACCTCAGCATTCCCAATAGCTGGGACTAAATATATCACTTTGGCTAATTTTTGTATTTGTAGAAACAGGGTGTTGCCATTCTGCCCAGGTTACTCTGGAACTCCTGGGCTCAAGCAGTCCTGCCTCCGCCACCTCCCACGTGCTGGGGATTACAGGCTTGAACCACTGTCCCTAGCCAGGGATGCAATTTTAAAATGCAAACCATCCATTTACTTCTCCTCAGGTCTTCCTGAGCTAGAAGATAGTACGTTTTCTAAAAATATATGTAAGTAAAAGACAAACTGCTTCTGAAAGACTTTTAGGAAATCATGACAATGCACAGTACATAAAATGCCTCAAGTTACCCAAAACGCTCTCCTAACTTCCTACTTATATTCGCAGTTCTCACGCTAGTGAGACCCGTCCTGGAACCGCAGTGCGGGGTTGCCAGAAATGCAGAGCAGGGGCGGACTTGGACACCAATGTTGCTGTCTCCTTGGCTCTGGATTCTTCCTCTAGAAAGGGGATATCATCTTTAGGCCCTTCACCAATTCCTCTGAGCATCGAACAAAATAAACTAAATATTGGTTCTTTTCAATTCCTCTTTTTTTCTCTCTCTCCATCTTCCCTTCGGGAGAGCAAGCAAATTAAAACACGGGATTCTGTTCTCTAATAAACTTCCCTTCTGTAAGAGCAGGCACAGCCCAAATAAAGTGCATTTTGGGTCCTTTATGATGCATTTTAGGGAAGATGGTCTGAGATACTGAGAAAGAGACCGAAACGGCCTGTAGAAGAAGCCCACAGGGACAGAAATACGGTTCCCCTTTATCCTTGGGGGGGGTTTCCAAGATCCCCAGCGCAGGCAGGCCTGAAACCACGAAGAGTACAGATTCCCATTACCAGCTTTCTGTTTTTCCACCCACATGCTTAATGCCTTTTTCCATCTTAAATAAGCACTTGCACTCACCGTAGCTGTGAATTTTGCATTCTGCAAGGCAACAGCAACACTAGCATGAATTCCTTCTTCCTGCTACACAATTTCAGGGATAGAAGATTCCTTCTTACAGTAGATCTTAATAACCTCAGCACAAAATGTTTTTTTCTCCTTAATACGTTGAGAACTTTCACCTTTTCACTCGTAGAAAGCACTTTACAGCTTCTCTTTGCCATAACTGAATCACTGTCATCATTACTCTTGACCTTTGGGGTCGTTCAGTAAAATAAGACTTACCTGAACACACTACACTGGGGTATCGCTACAGTCATCTAATAATCCAGACTAAGAGACCAGAGGTTGTATAGTGTAGACAACATGAATATGCTGGACAAAAAGAGGATTTGCCTCCTGGAGAGCGAGCAAGATGGCCAGATCTCTTCATGCTAATCAGAATCATGCAATTTAAAACTTAGAACTTATTTCTGGAATTTTTTAACTAATACCTTCAGAACACAGTTGACCACAGGTAACTGAAACCAAGGACCTCCAAACGACAGATGAGGGGAAACCATCCTACCATGCTTTTCTTTACCCATTCAGTTCTCTTTTTATCTGGATCTATACAAATTTGACTCCCTTTTCCTGTTTTGTGTGGGGGAAAAAAAAAATGACAGGCTAGTGTTAAATGATTGTCCATAAGAAACACTATATGAGAAAACACCATACAATGCTAAGTGAAAGAAAAAAGATTACATATATAATGCATAACATATATAAATACACATTTATCTCTGTGCATGTATGTGGATATATATGTATAGGTGTGTGTGTGTGTGTGTGTGTGTGTGTGTGTGTGTATAGTTGATCAACAATGTGAAGATTTTCTAGCTTTTTTATTGCTGATTTCCAGCTTAATTATACTGTGAGCAGAGAATACACTCACAGAGAATCACACACAGTGATTTCAAATTTTTCAACATTTGTTGAAACTTATTGCCCATTATATAGTTATTTTTATAATTATTCTATGTGTACTTGAAAAATTGTTCTGCACTCATTGGATAAAAAAATCTCTACTTGTATCAATTAGTCAAACTTATTGTGTTCAAATCTTAACTCTATTGATATTTTTATTTGATTGTTTTATTACTGAGATGCAAGAAAAAAACTCAGTGAGTATGAATTCCTCCATTTATGCTTTTTGTTCTGTCAACTTTTATTAGGGAAACACAAATTTGATTGCTACGTTTCCCTGTGGATGGACCTTTTTATTATTATAACCTGATTATAATTATTTTCTCATTATAACTTGATTATATTGATGTTATTATATTTTTGATTTTATCAAATAGTGATTATAAATTTGACATTATAATACAGATTATATTATATATAATTACATCACAACATTATTATTATATATTACCTTTGATCATTATAGCATCTTTAACTAGGTTACTATTTCTTACTGTATGTAGTCACCTTATCTGATATTATTACAGCTACACTAAATGTTTCCTTTAATACTATCATACAATCCATTTACTTTAAACCTTTCAGTGTCCTTATATTTAAAGTATATTCTATGTAAGCATTATAGAATTTTTTATCCAATAAAATTTCTTGAAGTGTTTAATTCATAATATATATAATGTAGCTATAGATAATATTAGAGTTGCTATTGCCTGAATGTTTGTGTTCCCCCAAATTCACATATTAATACCTAATTCTCATTGTGATGGTATTTAGAGATGGCCCTTATGGAGGTAGTAGGTCATGAAGGCAAAGCCCTCACGAATGGAATTAGTTCCCTTATAAAGGAGGCCCCAGAGAGCGCCTAGTCCTTTTCACCTTTTGAGGTTACAATAAAAATGGTGATCATCTAGGAAACAGGCCCTTATAGGACTCAAAATTTGCTGGCACCTTTGTCCTGGACTTCTCAACCTTTAAAACTGTGAGAAATACATTTCTGTTGTTTAGAAGCCACCCAGTTTATGGTGTTTTGGTAAAGCGGCCTGAACAGACTAAAACAGAAAATTGGCTCCAAGCAGTAGGGATGTTGCAGTAACAAGTACCTAAAAATATAGAAGTGGCTTTGGAACTGCATAGTGGGTGGAATCTACAAGAATTTTGAGGTGCATGCTAGAAAAAAACCTACAGTGCCATGAACAGAACTTTAAAGGGTATTCTGGTGAATGCTCAGAAAGAGTAGAACCGTAGAGGAAGCCTCAGATGTTTTAGCGAATACCTAAGTAATCCTGAACAGAATGTCCATAGCGATATATGGTCATTTTGATGAGGTCTCACACAGAAATGAGGAACTTGTTATTGGAAACTAGAAGAAAGGCAATCCTTGTAGTAAAGTGGCAAAAAACTTGTGTTGATGTCCTGATGTTTTGTGGCAGGTGGAACTTATGTGTGATGAAATTAAACATTTGGCTGAGAAAATATCTATGCAAAGTGCTAAAGAAGAAATTTGATTCTTCTTGACTGCTTAGCATAAGTTGAAAAAAAGGCTGGGCATGGTGGCTCACACCTATAATCCCAGCAGTTTGGGAGACCGAGGTAGAAGAACTGCTTGAGCCCAGGAGTTCGAGACCAGCCTGGGCAACTTAGCACGACCACATATCTACCAAAAGAATTTTTTTAATTAACCATATGGGGTGTTGTATGCTTCTAGTCCCAGCTATTTGGAAGGCTGAGGTAGGAGGATCACTTGAACCCAGGAATTCAAGGTTGCAGTGAGCTATAATCACTCCACTGCAGCCTGGATGATAAGCCTAGAGCTATCTAAAAAAAAAAAATCGAGATGA